TTTCAGGCCGCAGTAGGATATTCTTCTCACATATCTGGGATGTAGTCTATTTTCTTCTCATCTAACCCTCAGTGAGAAGTTTAGATGTTTCAGGTAGCTGCTGGTTGTCTCACTGTGAGTAATGTGCATGACGCCACTTCTCATATTTTTCACAAGACATTAGGGTTTGGTCAGCGAAGACGTCATTTCTCTCTAGCTTTCTCCCACATGTAAAACATGAGATGTTTAAGGTGGCTGTGTCCCGTGTGTCCATATATCTCAGTGTAATGCACATGAAACTGTCTCTGTCCACGCAGGCGGCCGTAACTCTTCAGGGTTTGATGTCTGATTTGCTGCCCAGTTCTACATTGGTGTAAGGTTTAATGTTACTGTAGGACATGATATATGATACGGCATGTTTCCGAGGTTTCTGGAACAGACATAGAATATATTAACACACACACATTCCCATGCAGAAATATTCCAAGTACAGCTGCAAGAGCGCACATACTGACATTTTGTCTTGTTTCCTCCCTTTCCCTGTCTTACTGGCACGCACACACACACACACTGTAATGTGTTCCTTCCTCAAATTCTCTTTCAACCTTCGTTCTTTGTGTGTTTCTGTGTTTTTACGTGTCCAACAACACATAATATATGTAAAATTCTGGGATACACACATCCACAAACATGAAATTACACATTAATAACATCCAAATAGAGACGCACCAATACACTCTAATCCAGAGATGGGAAAACAACTACACACATATACACACATCTGCCCTGCAGGGCTCCAATGTGTGACTTTTCCCACTGATAAATCATCTGCAGTGACCCTCAAACATGCATGAACACTCATAAAGCACACCGACATATTTTCTTTGTGATATACATTAAATATGGACAGGCTAGCTCTCTCCCCAGCCTTGTGTGTGCACATGTGTCGTCATGTATTTGGAGAGTTTGGGGTAAGCAGGTGTCCGTGTGAAGGAATGTGCTGACAGTGTGTGTGTACCAGTGGGGTGTCAGGTCCCAATCTGGATGAATTAAGGCCCATTTTATTCTCCGCTGTCCCGCTTCACTGACATTTGACACACATCTACACCTTGCTGTACCGCTCCGTCTCTTTCTCTCTCGTCTTTTTTTTCATTTCAGTTTCACACAGACACGTTTACTGTACGTCTCTGGTGTGGTTACGGGTAGGTCTGGTTTTTGAGCTGTAACATTCAATGCAACACTTGTCCGACGAGACTTGATTAATGTAAAACATACGCACAGAAGGTTTTGTTTGGCTTTTAAAGGATTTTAAGAGGAGACAATAATCTTCTAAAACTTGTTTTTTTAGGACACAGATGAGAGAAGTCCTGTCGGTTTTATTTGTACGGTTTAGGATCAGAAGGTCTGTACTTATACCTTTGATTTGGATGAGGTTGAATCCATCCAAAAGAAACATGGCTGTAATTTAGGTTGTAATGAAAAGAACCTTTCAGATACTTTCAAGTGGTTTTTACCATGATGACAGTTGCTAACACTTACCTCACTGAGCGTGATTAGAACATATCCAGCGCAGACATTTCAACACTACAAGCAAGTAAACACACAACTAAAATGAAGCACTCTCACAGGATTGATTTTAAATTTTGCAAACACAAGATGTAATTTGAAGAAACGTTTGCAGTTTGGAACCTTGTGCTGCAGCGTTGCCTGAGAGACATTGTTCAGGGCGAAATTACCTAGACGTGGAGCACATTTTGAACAGAACTTGATTTGTGGAGGTTGTAAACCGGGTTTACAACAATAGTTGTGGTTTTGATGATTTTATATATGAAATGTGCTGATTTATTAAAGTAAATGTGACAGCGACAGTTTTATGAGAATTTACTGAAGGCATTTTTCCACTTTTGAAATAAGTACGTTTGCATTTCCAGGGAAGGAATATCATAGGAAGTTCATGTTTGACTTATCCAAACACAAAATGGTTTGTGTAAATTAATTTAAAAAGAGATTGATTTCAAAATAGTCTATTAGATTAGTTTGAATATCACTAACAATTTGGATTGGATATCTGACTAGACTGCGAGAGGACAAAGTAAATATGAGAAAAAGACACAAAAGTAATGAGAGGAAAAGAACACAGAGTGCACAAAACAAGGAGGACAAACGCGAGAGGTCAGGGCAAGAGTTATAAATTTCTTCTTTGGGGGGAGGGAGACAGTAGGAGGATAATAAAATGAAAGAAAAGAAGCAGAAATGCTTTTCTGGCAGAGGGTAAAGGAGGGAAAGCAAAGAGGAGAAAGACAGCTGTCCAACAACAACTCAGGCGAGCCAACAAAACTGCGTGATATCCCGAAGAAATTATATTACCTCCATCTCTGTCTCCCTCGCTCCTTCCGTTCATCCATCAATCTTTCAGACTACAGTGTATATTGAATATATTACCACTTATCTCACACAACGTCCTTCCTCGCCTCTGGCACAAAACTGTCGACTTAATTCTCTGCGTTTTTACCAGACAAAATTATATATTTTTTAAAAATGTGTTATGTTGTTAATGATGCTTAAAAAACACCAAATAATCCCAATGTAAAGTCCCTGTTGTGCAGAAACTGGGG